CTTTCACACCTGTGTGCTGTCTTTTGACATGCAGCCATTCTAACAGTTGATCCCATTCCTCTGTAATTTGCTCCTTTTTCAGGGGACTAACCCTTGCTAGTTCATCAGCTTTATTATTCCACTCTCCTGCTGGATTTCCGTCTGTTTGGTGAGAGGCTACCCATCCCACTGCAAAATTCCCCTGACTTGCAATGTTTAATATTTCTTGCCGTTTTTCCTTTTGCCAGACTGGGATTCTATTCACTTCCCAATCATTTTGTTGCCAAAAAGGAAGCCACTCAGTACAACCTTTGTACACAGCATAAGAGTCAGTGTAAATGTAGACTGAAGAGGAATTTTGTGCTTCTCGTTGGAAAACACTCCAGACAGCTATTAGTTTCCCAACCTGTGTGCTACCTTCTCCCTCTGTGATAATTTGCTCACCAGAAGAGATGTGGAGTGCTGCTGCTCTATATTTCCATATCTTTCCTTCCCTTTTAGCAGAAGCATCAGTGAACCAGGAGTTTGCTGATTTTTCAGGGCAGAAAGGAGGGGCCACTTTGATTACAGAGGCAGGTTTGTCCTGGCTGCTATCCAAGCTCTCAGTTTCTTGTATTGCCAAATTTTTCACAGCTCCTTCTGTTATTGTAAAGATGTTACAGTAATGTTCAATCTGAGCATACCCCTTTCTTACCGAGGCCCTCTGGGCCACCCCGTCAGGAGGGGGGGTCCCATTGATGACTGTCTTAATAACCTTGAAGGGGCCTCTTAGTACAATAGGTTGTTGACGTGTAATCTTTTCTACTTCAATGAGAGCCAGGCTGACCACAAACAATCCCTTTTCCCAGGTAGTGTACCTTTTCTCAGCATCTCTGAAACCATGGGAATAAAAACCAACAGGCCTTGTTGGACCCTCGGGTCCCCGCTGCCAAATGTGTACTGACAATCCTGAGACAGCAAATCCCCATTCTACCTGAAAGGGGTCTGTAGGATGAATAGGGCCCAGTGCTTGATGAGCAGTTGCTTCAAAAATCAGTAATTGCAATGCTTCTTCCTGAGAAGGAGTCCAATCCTATTTTACCCCTTTCCTTAGCAAGTCATAAAGGGGCCTAGCAATTATTGAGAAATCTGGAATGTGTTTTCTCCAAAACACTAATAATCCTAGAGCCTGTTGTAGATATTTTCTGGAATGAGGCATTTTAATCTGATCTAAAGAAGTTAAGGTATCAGGTGGAATACATGTCATGCCTCCTTTCCACCAAATCCCCAGAAACTTTACTTCTTGAGAGGGTTTTTGAACTTTTTCTGGGGGGATCTGTAAATCGAGACTCTCTAAATGGGAGATTATTTTCTGTTGAGTCTCTCTTACTGCTTCAATTTCATCCCCTCACACCAAAATATCATCAATGTATTGGTACACTGCTACATCATCAGGTTTGGATATCTCCTCTAGTTCTTTAGCTAAGGCATGGTGGGCTAAGGTGGGTGAATGCTTGTATCCTTGTGGGAGTCTAGTGAAAGTGTATTGCTGTCCTTCCCACATAAAGGCAAAACGGTCCATGTCTTCTGGTTGTAATGGTATCATAAAAAACATATCTTTGACATCTATAGTTGCCATAATTGGATGAGCTTTTTCTTGAATAGATGTTATTAATTCTGCTAAATTTGGGACCGCTGCTGTGAGAGGATCTGTGTTGGCATTAAGCCTGCGAAAATTGACTGTCAGTCTCCATTTCCCATTAGGCTTCGGACTGGCCAGACGGGTGAGTTGAAAGCAGAATGTGTGTTAATTATTACTCTCTGGTCTTGCAAATCCTGTATAACTGGTTTGATACCTTCTCTGGCACCAGAAGGTAGGAGGTATTGTTTTACATTGGTGGTTTTGCTATATGGCAGAGCAGGTGCAGTTTGAAGCAGTCTTATATTTAAAGGCATAGCACCAAAACACCATAGAGATCCTTCTGAGTCCTCCCACTGTCCCCCAACAAGGACATCCATCCCTAGTAAATTGTTTGGGATGTCCCCGATTACCATTTTAACAACCAATTGATCCTCATCTCCAGGAAGAGTGAGTTTAACTAAGGCCACATTCATAGATTCTGACATTCCTAAAGCATTAAGGACACAATATTGTCTCTTAGTCGGAACAACACCGCTCCTCTGGGCATCTTTTTCTGTTAATGCAGAGATTTGAGCCCCAGTGTCAATCAAAAAGGTTACAAGAGCACGTTTGGGACCCACAATAGCTGTGATCAAGATATCTCCTGATTTATTTTTAGTGAGCCTTCTTAAATATACCCATGCTCCATCTCTTCGCTCACCTGTAAGGGACGGAGAAATTAGTTTCCCTGGTGTTGTGTCAGTTCATTGCTCAGATTTTGAGGAAAAGGCTGAGAAAGAGATGACTCACCGCCTGGATTTTGAGAGAGAAACTGGGAAAATGTCAATTTTGGGTCACAGCCTGAGTTCTGAGAGGAAAGTTGCGATATAGTTTTTGTCCACTGCCCTGGTTTTGCAGGAGGGACTGTGAGAAAGTTGTTTCCTTACCCATGTTCTGAGGAAGAGTGGGTGCACTAGGGTGTGTACCGGATTGAACCGATGGATTTGATTTTCGATAGCGCCAATTAGCTATTATTTTCTGTAATTTATCAAGGGGTAGACCATCCATCACTTCTCTGGGGACCCCCTTTTGGACTCCCAGTGACCACCAATGCTGGCGGTTAGGGTTCTGTTTTCCCTTTTCTGGATTTTTACTGTAAGGAGTCCCAATAGACCGAATCCCTTTTGTTTTCTCTGATTTTATTGGTTTCTCTTCCGGGGTTTTTACAGGTCCATATTTTCTACAATAATTGATCAAATCCTCTGCAACTTCACCCCATGTCCAAACTTTATGGTTACTACCAGGTGAACTGGTTTGTGCATTTGCAGCTTGGAAAGGGGAATGGGATGGAGTAAAACCAGGATCAGTAGACAAAGCCAGGGACCTCGCTAGACAGGAAAGCTGGACTGGACAAACACAGATCAGGCCAATGTGGTCAATAAAACGTTCTCCCTTTATTAGTTAGAAGATGGCAGTTTATATACACTTCAATATAGTTTAGAGTTTACAAAGGCACTCTGATTGGCAAGCTAATATTGTTTGTCTTTGTCTTAAGCTGGACTAAACTCTACACTATAAACCTGTACTAATTCACACCCAGAAAGCCCAGTGCTTCACATCACACCTTAATATAATTTCTAACTGTGCCACAAGCTCTTAATTTCTAACTGCGTCCCAGGCTTGGAAGGCCTCACAAGGCCCGTATCTGAGGCCTAGGCTGGAGTAGCTCAAATCTCATTCCAGACATAAATCATGCCCTCTCTCTCTCAGAAATCCTGCAACAAGTAGATCCAGTGCGATCAGATCAAGAAATCTGTCTAGTCTTTCTACAGGGCTTAATGCCACGATAGTTTTCTGTAAGGCTATGGCAGTAGGTTTGAGTGTTTCTGGAAGCCCACGAATTAAAGTAGACATTATTTCAGGCTTCACAGGTAATTGCATTGGGGATTCAAAGCCAGGAATTAATTTCTTTTCATGAATCATTTGCAGACAAGCAGCTTTGTGTACACTTTCTAGGAGTTGGTCAGGGGTGCTAACTATAGCTACAGGATCTCCCCTTTCCAAGGGGCTTGTTCCCCCAGCCCAAAAAGCCGCACGCTGTGTCAGGGACCGTGAGTCATGTTTATCTCCTGTTGTTAAGAAGACACCATGTCCCCAGTACCCACTGGCTTCTTGTTCAGTTAATTTAATTTGATCGCCACCTGGAAAACATATTCTGTTTCTGATTCATGTGGGAGGCATCTGTATTCTCTTTTAAGCTTAGCTAATTCGGTGGCAGTGTATGGTATGTGTTTAGTTGTGATGTGGGGTTCAAGATCATCATAACTAAGATAGTTATATTCTGATTTAATTAAGGGTCTTAAGTGAGGGCAGCAATGTTCCCCACAATGATTTGCTGCCTCAAGTTCTTTATGAGGATAAATTTGGTTAATGCGAGGAGTTTCCTTTTCCTCAGGATCTGTAGAGGAATCAGCATTATGTGATTTGTTAACATGTTCCTCTGTTAAGGCAGCTCTCAATGCATAGTTCTCATTTATTAATTAATGTTTTTCATTCCTTTCTTCATGTAATTGTATTTTGCAAAATTTCAACCAAGTTTTGAAGGGAGTCTATTATTGTTTCTTGCTCACTTCTTCGCTGAAAGCGAGTTTCTACAGCTGCCATAAGACAAGCTCCCAAAACTGAGCATAAGATGGTTTTATTTTTGCCCAGTTTAAATTTTGTATCATGTTGTAAAGAACATATTCTATCAACCACATTATCCAAATTAAACCAATTACTTTGTGCCCATTCTTCTCCTCACAGAGAAGGTCTGGCACTGTATTTAGCTAGTAGAGCATAAAATTCAACTTTAGCCTTATCATTAAGGTTATTACTCATTTTGTGAAGGGACCAAAACCACGGCAGGGAGGTACAAACTTAAGTCACACAAATCACACAGCCTTCACTGTGTCGCCCTTCGCTTCCCTGGGTGGGTGAAGAGACAAAATCTGCCTGGGAGGCTCTGCTTAGTTTCTTCAAGTTGTCCCTTCCTTCCCAGACAGTCCAAATACACATAACAACAATAAAACAACACAGTGTTTTTTGCACACACCGCCTTTTGCACTAAGAGATCTTTTGCAAATTTCTGAAGATAGTGTGGGTGCTTCTTTCACCTAGGCAATGTGCAGTCTGCGGGAAATTCAAAACTCCCCCCCTTGCTATCTAGACACTGCTCAGCATTTTGGATTGGCAGGCGAGGTGCGGCTGGAAAGAAACGTCCTTCCCCTGTTACAGACTACACAGAACCTGCACCCTTCTGCCTAGAGAGAAATCCTGTCCGTGACGCCAATTTAATGTCACGATCCGCTTATAGCGGGGTGTTGTGATGGTTCATTAGCCGATCCCAAAGTGCAAAAGACAAACAGCAAGGGATTATCAGTTTAATCACAACAAAAGCACCTTTATTAGGGGCCAAAACAATAAATGCGATAGTGGTGTCAGAAAATAAATAAAAAGGATAGAGAGAGAGAGAAAAGGGGGATGGGAATAGCTACCAACATAGGCGAGATCCTGACTAGTCCGGACGATGGGGATCCATCTTGTTGTGTTGGGGAGAGTCTCCAAAGTCCTACCCAACCCAGGGGCCCAGTTATAGTCCACAGAGGAAAAAGGGGGGAACATATAGAACAATAAGAGTCTATTGAAATTGCTGCGGGGGGAACAGGTGACTCACCAAAGCAGGACGAACACAATGAAAAATAAGTCTATTGCAGTTACTGAAGAAGAATAGGTCATGTCAATCGTGGTTACACCACTGTTCCCCCCCACTCCCTGTGGTAGGGGTCTCAGTCCTTGGGGAGAGGGTTCTTGATCTCTGTCTGTCACGGTGGTAACGAGGCAGATGAGGAGTCTTCAGTGAGAGACCACCAGGGTCACCCCAACAGTTCATTCGGCTTAAAGGTGGAGAGTGAAATAGTCATTGCAGCAGGCCGCCCCGTGCTGGGTCCACGCTGGGTCTTCGCCAAGTCCTTACCAAGTCCTTGCCAGGTTCTTGCCAGGCCTCGTTTGGAACAGCTGGCGTGATGGTGCAGTGGCTGCACCTGGACTGTTGCCTTCTCCAAGCTGGAACTGCAGTGGGGCGGATTTTCCTTCTCGTGGCAATCAGCAGACAAATGAGTGAGGGTCTTCAGACGACCTCTTACAAGACCACATTCCATGTGGGACAAACACAGGAGCAGATAAGAATTGTTTTCTCTTGTTCTCTCTGAGGCTTCTCACTGCCTTTCCCAGTAAATCCTTGGGAAAAAGTTGTGCCTTGGTTTTCTCTGTAAAGAGAAATGAGGCGACAGCGGGCAGTGGGGCAGCTGCTACAGGGGACACTATGAGTTGGGATGGGGGGACATGGGGATAGGTCCAGGGCAGGACTTGATCAGGTGCACCAGAACCTCTACCAGGGTCTCCCAGTACAACCTGAGCCACTTGGCTCAAAAGCCCAAAGCCCTGAGCCCCAAGTCTGCCCCAGAAACCCTGAACTCCCTTGAACCCAGCATCCCCCACATCCCCTGGAAGATCCTCCGTGATACCATCCATGGCCATGCCCACACCTTGTCCTTATCCGTGTTTCAGTTCAACATCTTTTTTTTTACCCCAGTTTTGAGTGATTTGAAGGGACAATGAGAAATTCAGGCCACAGGGAGCCAGGATGATGTGGAGCTCACAGGCAGGTGTCTTCCCAACACGGGATCACTGGGGCTCTGCCCACTGGGGATCACTGGGAATCATCCAGCGCGTATCCTCCCGTGGGGGATGGAGCTGGAGCAGCGCATGAAGCTTTTCCCACACTTGGGGCACTTGCAGAGTTTCCCTTAGTGGTGGCTCCGTAGGTGTTTGGTCAAGTGAGAGCTCTGTGAGAAGCTCTTCCCACAGCTGGGACACTCGTAGGGCCTCTCCCCAGTGTGGATGCGCCGGTGGGTGATGAGGTTGGAGTTGTACCTGAAGCCCTTCCCGCAATCAGGGCAGAGGAAGGGCCTCTCATCTGTGTGAATCCGCTTGTGCAAGAGGAGATGGGAGTTGCTCTGAAACCTCTTCCTGCATTCATCACACTCATAGGGCTGTTCCCCCGTGTGGATCCTCTGGTGAACAATCAGCTCAGAGCTTGTCCTGAAGCTTTTCCCACACTCAGGACACTCAAACGGCCTCTCACCAGTGTGGATGAGCTGGTGGGTGACAAGGCGGAAGTTGTACCTGAAGCCCTTCCCACAGTCGGGGCAGCGGAAGGGCCTCTCATCTGTGTGAATCCGCTGATGTGTGAGGAGATTGGAGCTGGTCTGAAACCTCTTCCTGCATTTATCACACTCGTAGGGCCTCTCCCCAGTGTGGATCATCTGGTGGCGGGTAAGTTTAGATCTCGTCCTGAAGCTTCTCCCACACTCCCCACACTCATAGGGCCGTTCCCCCGTGTGGGTCCTCTGGTGGACAATAAGGTAGGAGCTCTGCGTGAAGCTCTTCCCACATTGCCCACACTCATAGGGCCGTTCCCCCATGTGGATTCTCCAGTGGCAGATCAGGGAAGATCTCTTGCTGAAGCTCTTCCCACATTCCGAGCACGTGTGGGGCTTCTCCCCATCATGAAGCTGCTCATGGACCCCGAGCTCTGAGCTCTGGCTGCCTCCCCAGCCCAGGCTGGGTAGTTCCTCCTCAGATCTCTGTGATCTGCATTTGCAGCCCCTCCGATTGCAGCATTTCCAGGGCTTTTCCTCCCCATTGGATTCCTGTGCTGTGGAGCTGCTCAAAACGGCCTCTTCCACGAGGTTCTGCCTCAAATCTGGGGATTTGTCCTCGTTGGTTTCCATCCTCAGCTCCTTGTCTGGGGGAGGAAGGACAAGGAGAGGGTGGGAATTGCCTCCTTGCCTGAGGCAAGGAGAAATAAATTTCTTCAATCCACTCCCAGCAGGACGGCCAATGCCGCGGGGTCGGGGGCCAGGCTGGGCTGGGAGTTGGAGCAGGAGAGAGGGGGAAAGGGGCACTGACTTCCTTCTCACCTTCCTGGTGCTCTCAGGGCATCTTTCTCTTCCTCGCAGCCTCCTCTTCCTCCATCGAGCCAAGGTTTGGGAATGGGAAACCCTATTTTTTGGGGGAAAACAAGGCTGAGTGATTTGCGTTTGATGGTCCTGCTGCCAAAGTGCAGCTGGAGAAGTCAGTGCCTCTTTCAGCCTCGGAGGCCCTGGAGCCCACTCATCCAGGAGTCCGCTCACCGAGGCTCCTCCACCCCTTCAGGGTGCTAGGGATCCCCTGGCTTCGGGACTGCCCCTCTGCAGTCTCTCCCCTTTGAGGCCCCTGCGTTGTCCCCGGTTCTCCCGGAGATCCCTAAACCCGATATTGCCCCCTCGACGCGGGATACCTCAACATCGCTCCAGGGACATTTCCTGCTCAGATTTGGAGTCCTGCAAGACGCAAGCAAAAAAAGAAAACCCTCCCAGAGACCCCCCGAATGGAATGCGGGTGAGCTCCGTCTCCCCGCTCACCTGTGGATCCCGGCGGGTGTGCGGGGGTTCGGTGCTACTGACGCCGGGGGAGCTGCGGCCTGAGCGGGCGGGCCCGAGACCCGGCACGGGAAACTACGCGATTCTGTCCCTCCTCTTCCGTCCCTCCTCTTCCTCCCGCTTCTCCTCCGCTCCCAGCCCGACCCGGGCGGTGCCGACACCCAAAAGCAGCCGCGTTCTGTCGTACGGAAGTTCCAAAGCGGCCCCGGCCCGTGCGGCGCTGGGAGCGATCCTGAGAGCACCGGGAAGGAGCTGGGAGCGCTTTCCCTCCCGGCACCGCTCTGACTGGGAGCACTGGGAGGGAACTGGGAGCGCTTTCCCTCCCGGCACCGCTCTGACTGGGAGCACTGGGAGGGAACTGGGAGCGCTTTCCCTCCCGGCACCGCTCTGACTGGGAGCACTGGGAGGGAGCTGGGAGCGCTTTCCCTCCCGGCACCGCTCTGACTGGGAGCACTGGGAGGGAACTGGGAGCGCTTTCCCTCCCGGCACCGCTCTGACTGGGAGCACTGGGAGGGAACTGGGAGCGCTTTCCCTCCCGGCACCGCTCTGACTGGGAGCACTGGGAGGGAACTGGGAGCGCTTTCCCTCCCGGCACCGCTCTGACTGGGAGCACTGGGAGGGAACTGGGAGCAAACAGCGCCCGGACGCGGCTGCAGCCGGCGGGGGGCGGGGGCAAGGCGAAGGGCGTGGTTATGCAAATCACTGAGCGATCGCGCGCTGGGATTGGTGGGCGGGAGCAGCGCGGGTTTCCTCGGTCACGTGAGGGCCGGGGGCTCTGGAGTTATGGCGGCGGCGTCCGGCGAGAGGGGACAGGGAGCGGGAATGGGGACAGGGAGCGGGAATGAGGACAGGAAATGGGGACAAGGAACGGGAATGGGGACAGGGAGCCGGAATGGTGAGAGGGACAGGGAACCGGGAATAGGACAGAGAATGAGAACAGGGAGCGGGAATGGGGACAGGAAATGGGGACAAGGAACGGGAATATGGGAACGGGATAGAGAATATGGAACCGGAGAGAATATGGGATTGGGGTTAGGAAGATGGGACCAAGATGGCAAATGGGCCTAACGGAATGGGACTGGGATTATGGGAATATAGGAATGGGACAGGGAACATAGAAATGGAAATAGGGGAACGGAAGTGCAACCGGCAGCCCAACTGGGAATATGGGAGCAAGGGGAGTGACAGCAGGGAGAAGGGGATCCTGGACAGGGGACACCAGGAACCAGAATGGGGAGACATGGAGACAGTTCCAGCACAGGGGGTCCTTGATCAGCTGCCCAAGAAACTCTGCCAGGGTCTCCCAGAACAGCCAGAACCACTCAGCCTGGGAAAAGCTGAGTAAAACCCTGAGCAACCCCAAGTCCTGCCCAGGAACCCTCAACTCACTTGAACTCAGCATCCCCCACATCCCCTAGAAGATGTCCCCATCCTTGTCTTAGTTCACTGTTTTTATTTTTACCCTGCTTTTGGGTGTTTTGAAAGGACAAAGAGAAATGAAAAGATAACCCAGACCACGTGGAGCCATAAAGAGGTGGAGCCCCCCAGCCAGGTGTCTTCCCAACACAGATCACCTGCATCACGGATCACTGGGAACCATCCAGTGCAGATCCCCCCATGGGGGATGGAGCTGTAGTAGCGCACGAAGCTCTTTCCACACTTGGGGCACTTGCAGGGCTGCCATAGTGGTGCCTCCATTGGTGTTGGTTCAAGGCTGAGCGCTGTCTGAAGCTTTTGCCACAGTTGGGACACTCGTAGGGCCTCTCCCCAGTGTGGATGCGCCGGTGTGTGACAAGGGTGGAGTTGAGCTTGAAGCCCTTCCCGCAGTCGGGGCAGCGGTAGGGCCTCTCATCTGTGTGAATCCGCTGGTGTACAAGGAGATCTGAGCTGCTTTGAAACCTCTTCTGGCACTCCCCACACTCGTAGGGCCGCTCCCCAGTGTGGCTCCTCTGGTGGATCATCAGGTGGTAGTTCTGAGTGAAGCTTTTCCCACATTTGCCACACTCGTAGGGCCGCTCCCCGGAGTGGATCCTCTGGTGGGGCATTAGTTCAGAGATCTGGCTGAATCTCTTCCCACAATGCCCACAATCGTAGGGCTTCTCACCGGTGTGGATCCTCTTGTGGACAATCAGGTTCGACTTCTGGGTGAATCTCTTCCCACAGTCAGAACACTCGTAGGGCCTCTCCCCAGTGTGGATGCGCCGGTGCACGGTGAGGTCGGAGTTATGTCTGAAGCCCTTCCCGCAGTCAGAGCAGCGGAAGGGCTTCTCCTCGGTGTGAATCCGCTCGTGCCTGAGAAGATGGCGGCTTGTCTGAAACCTCTTCCCACATTCGGGACACTCATGGGGCCTCTCATTCGTGTGTGTCTGCTGATGCTTCAGAAGAGTGGAGCTTCTCTGAAAGCTCTTCCCACATTCCCCACACCTGTAGGGCTTCTCCCCATCATGAAGTTGCTCAGGGACCCCCAGCTCGGAGCTCTGGCTACATCTCTGGCTGCCATCCCGGCCCAGGGTGGGTCTTTCCTCCTCCGACCTCCCTGGGCTGGGTTTGCAGCCTCTCCTCATCAGGGATCTCTGGGGATTTTCATCCCCGTTGGATTCCTGTGCAGTGGAGTCACTCAAAACGGCCTCTTCCACAAGGTTCTGCTGTGGTGATTCATCCTCCCTGGTCTCCACTGCCAGCTCAGTGCCTGGGGGACAAAAGACAAGGAGAAGATGGGATTTGCCTCCATGCCACAGGGAGGGGGAAGGAGATCCCCCCGCAGTGTGTCCCAGGCAGGACAGAATTTACTGCGGGGTTGTCCTGCAGCCAGGGGCCACTGGGCTGGGAGATGGAGCAGGAGACAGGGGAAAAGGGGCACTGACTTCCTCCTCACCTGCTTGGGTGTCCTGGGGCATCTTCCTCTTTCTCCCAGCCTCTTCTTCCTCCATTGGGCCGAGGTTTAGGAACGGGAAATCCTGTTTTGGGGGGGATAACAAGGGTTGATTGCGTTGGGTTTGATGGTCTTGCTAGCCAAGTCTAGCTCTAGAAAGTGGCCCGTTCAGCCTAGGGGCGTCCGGACCCCGCTCACCTCCAGCCTCCTTCACCCCTCCAGGCTGCCGGGGTTCCCAGCTCCGTGATCGCCGCTCTGCATTCTCCCCTCTTTCCCCCCGGCACTCCCTGGGATCCCCAAAACCGATATCGCCCCTCTGCCCGCAGGTACAGGGCACGTGGGACCTCGGTAAGAGTTATTTGTGGCTCAGCTTTGGGGTCCTGCAAGATCCAAACATCCCCTGTCCCACAAAAAAAGCTTCCCGGAGACCCCCCCGATGGATTTGGGGCGAGGTCCCGCTCCCCGCTCACCTGCGCGTTCTGGAGGTGGGGGGACGATGCTGCTGAAGCCGGGGGAGCAGCGGCCTGAACGGGCGTGCGGGGAAACCGCGTGGTGTAGGCGCTGCTGCTGCTCTTCCTCGTCCTTCTCGTTCTTCTGTTGCAGCTTCTCTACTTCCTCTTCCTCTTTCTCTGTCCCGCCTCTTCCTCCCGCTCCTCCTCCGCTCCCAGCCCGGCCCGGGCGGTGCCGACACCCAAAAGCGGCCGCGCTCTGTCCTGAGGGGGTTCCCAAAGCGGCCCCGGCCCGTGCGGCGCTGGGAGCGATCCTGAGAGCACCGGGAAGGAGCTGGGAGCGCTTTCCCTCCCGGCACCGCTCTGACTGGGAGCACTGGGAGGGAACTGGGAGCGCTTTCCCTCCCGGCACCGCTCTGACTGGGAGCACTGGGAGGGAACTGGGAGCGCTTTCCCTCCCGGCACCGCTCTGACTGGGAGCACTGGGAGGGAACTGGGAGCGCTTTCCCTCCCGGCACCGCTCTGACTGGGAGCGCTGGGAGGGAACTGGGAGCGCTTTCCCTCCCGGCACCGCTCTGACTGGGAGCACTGGGAGGGAACTGGGAGCGCTTTCCCTCCCGGCACCGCTCTGACTGGGAGCACTGGGAGGGAACTGGGAGCGCTTTCCCTCCCGGCACCGCTCTGACTGGGAGCACTGGGAGGGAACTGGGAGCGCTTTCCCTCCCGGCACCGCTCTGACTGGGAGCACTGGGAGGGAACTGGGAGCAAACAGCGTCCGGACGCGGCTGCAGCCGGCGGGGGCAGGGGCAAGGCGAAGGGCGTGGTTATGCAAATCACTGAGCGATCGCGCGCTGGGATTGGTGGGTGGGAGCAGCGCGGGGTTTCCTCGGTCACGTGAGACCCGGGGGTGGCCGGAGCGATGGCGGCGGCGTCCGGTGGGAGGGGACAGGGAGCGGGAATGGGGACAGTGAATGGGAATGGAAATACGGGAATGGGAACGGGACACGGATGGGAACCGGACAATAGGGGAACGGGAGTACCGCGAACCGGGAGGTTGCGGGTGACACCGGGGCGAGGGGGGCTGGGGATAGGCGCGACACTGGGGCGAGGGGACACCGGGGACCGGCCGGGGATGTTAATGGCTGCAGGGGGCGCTGTGCACCTGCGCGGTGAGCAGGCGGGACAGCAGAGCAGGGTCGGGGGGACGCCGGGGACAGGGAGTCCTGACCGGGGGTTTAACGTGGACAGGGACGCTGAACTGGGCAGCGGGGACAGGGAGTCCTGACCGGGGGTTTAACGTGGACAGGGACGCTGAACTGGGCAGCGGGGACAGCGGAACAGAGGAATAACACTGGACCGAGTGGGACGCCGACTGCGGGCCGACACCGAACAGGGTGACACCGGGACGGGGATGATCCCGGGACACGGGGGTGACACCGAGCAGCAGGGAAACGGACCAGCGGGGGACACCGGAGCGAGGTGACACCGGCGGGTGATCCTAGAGACCGAGTGGCTCCCGAGCCACGGCACCGGGTACAGCACGGCCGAGGCGGCTCCAGCGCCGGTGCCAGTAGCAGAGGAGGAGCTGCGGCGCCGCCTCAAGTAATTCCTCATGAGCCCCTGTGACAAGTAGCGGGCCCGCATGTTGTGGTGCTTTGAATCCATGTTTGCCCACTGTTCTCCCTAATCCCCTCACTTTCCCAGTTACCAATTTTCTCAAGCCCTTCCCTAACCTCCTCCCTTCCAAGCTGTTAATCCTCCCTATCCCTTTCTCCAGAGAGTTCTGTGTCTGTCTTGTTGCCCTCGACACCCCATTTGTTACTTCGTATTATTCCCCCCCACCCCTTTTTCTCTAATACGCTCATAAGCTATTTGCCTCACCCTATACTCCTCTCTTGCCATATCCTCATTGGTTCACTTTCCTGCACCCCTCCTCCTGAGCTGCTGTATAAAAACTTGTGTTCACCCCTCCCCCAATCTTGTCTGGGAGCTCAGGAATAAATCCATCTTGTTCTACTCCAAGACCCGTGTCTTTGCTATCTGTCCCTGTGCCGGAGCTGCCGATAACTGGGAATTGCAGAGTTTGCAGGGTCGTGCCCCTGCCACAGCCGTCCCACACGCCACGCACTGCAACACCCACGGAAGGCGGCCCGCGAAGTTCATGCTGAAGCACACCAAGATCGTCCTCGTCACCGTGTAGGTGACACTGCCGGGGACAGCGGGCTGGCACAGCAGGGATGTGATGCAGGGACAGCAGCGTGGGGGCCTGAGACACTGGCAAGGGTGCAGAGGGACAGTGGGACAGTGGGCTGGGACAGCAGGGACAGTAGGGATGGCAGGTGGGGCATGGAGGGGCTAGGATACCAGGGAGGGAGCACAGGGACATGGGGATACCGGGGACACTGGGCATAGGGGGCTGGGACACGGGTGGGAATATGGGGACATTGGAGAAGAGGTGCCGGGGACAGCGGGCAGGAGCCACAGGGACATGGGGATATTTTGAAAAGAATGCTCAAGTGTCCTGAGACAAAGCATGGCAGCGTCACTCTGGTGGGTAAGGAGCACAGGTCTTTGTCCCCAAGCATGGAGTGACACTGTTTTGGAGTGAAACATGGCAGCGTCACCGGGGTGGTACAGAGGCTGACAGGGGTGGTGTCCTTTGTCCCCAAGCTGTGACACCATTTTGGGACAAAACACACCAGTGTCACCCTGAAGGGATGGGTGGTGACAGAGATGGTGGCCTTTGTCTCCAGCTGATCCTGTTCAGGCTCAGCAACCAGCTGGTGGTGGCTTTCAAGGAGGACAACACAGTGGCCTTCAAGCACCTGTTCCCCAAGGGCTACAAAGATGGCACCAATGACACCCAGGCCATCTACACCTGTGGGGACTTCCTGAAGCACCTGGCCTTTGTCCTCAGGAAGGTGGTATGGGGACACTGGAGGGGCTGGGCACATTGGGAGGGGCGGAGAACATTGTGGGTCCTCCTGGAGCATGTGCCCTAAGCCCTTGAGAAAGTGGCACAGGGACACTGGGGTGGCTGGGGACACCAGGAGGAACTGGGGACATCGGGACCTCCTGGAACACCTAGTCTATGCCCTCAAGAAGGTGGCACAGGGACACCGGAAGGGGTTGTGGACATCAGGGGAGGGTTGAGAGACATCAGGAAGGTTGCAGACACCAGGAAAAGTTTGGGAACATGGGGGTTATTTGGAGCCATCAAGGTGCCACCCACAGTGCTCCTGTCCCTGTCCCCACAGTACCTGGCTGTCCTCCATGAGACCTTTGGTCACCACACCTACACCTGGGGACATGGAGGTGTTTCTGGAACACTGAGATGTTTTGGGGCCATGGAGATGTTTTGGGGCCATGGAGATGTTTTGGGGCCATGGGGTGGTTTGGGGCCACCAAGGTACCCCAGGGCCACCTCCAGCCTTGGTGTCCCTGTCCCTTGGTGTCCCTGTTCCTGTAGTACCCAATGGGACCTTGGGCCACTATGCCTATGGTGGCACTGAGGGTGGCACCAGGCTCCGGCTGTGCCAGCGCTTCTTCCGCAGGGTGGACATCAACCCCAGCAACAACACCTTTGACATCAACCCCAGCATCATCACTGGTGGAGACCCTTGGAGTTTGAGGTTTGGGATTTGTGGTGTGGGGCGCTGGGTTTGGGGTTTGGAGTTTATGGTTTACGTTTCAAGTTTGGGAGTTGTGGCTTGCGGTTTGGGTTTGTGGTTTGGATTTGGGTTGGTCGCATGTCCTGGTTTAGGGCAAATTTTGGGAGAAAACCTCCAGAAGGAGTCCCGAGAAAGCAAACCCCCTCAGCCTCTCCCCCCTCCTGGTTCGGGAAGAATTTCCTTGGAGAGAAGTGGAAAGAAAACTGTTTATTTAAAAGGCAAAGCACTCCCCAGCTAAAAAAAATGAACAACACTAGATGACAAAACTCTTTCACCGCTCTGAAGAGATGACAAATCCAGACAGTCTCTCCTGGGAGTGGTCGCTCTGTTATCAGTCCCTCCGGTGCTGAGAATGGCTGCTGCAGGCCACAAAGTGCAAACTCTCAGTGTTTCCCAGGTCCCAGTCCAGAGCAGGTTTGAATGGTTCCAAGAAAAGGGAAAGAAAAACAGTCCAGGGGAAAATTCAGACTGCCCAGCTAAACTAACTAACAAGCCAAAAGCAAAAGCAATCCAAGGATTGCTCCCACACAATATGTGTCAGGTCAGAAAATAGTTGCTGGATTCTATCTGCCCAGGGCAGCATGTAATCTACACTTTGAACCCTAGGTCTAAGTATTTTCCTTCCCCTGTAAAAGTGTTTCAATCATCTTTAAAGAGCTCGTCCACTGAAATTTGGATACCACCTTCAGTACTGAAAACATCCAAGGATTGCTCCCACACAAAATGTGGACAGACAGATCTTGCTGGTCTTTACCTCCAATGGACAGAGTTTGTGAAATAAAATGAGAGTGCTTTACCATGGGAAGGAAAGCATGTAGGCCCAGTGGTTTAGGTGCAGATTACAGGCTGCCCTAGGCGGGTAGAGATCAGTGAAAGCTTTCTGATCTGGCAGCTTTTGTATGAGAGTTATCTTTGGGCATATATAATATTGGAGGTGGTATCCACAGTTGAATAATGGGCTTCTGGATGAGAGTGAGAGGTTTTTTCCATAGGAAGGAAAGCGTGTAGCCCCAGTGTTTGTGGTGTTGATGAGAGGCTGCACAGGGGAGCCAGGGAACGCCAGCCAAGACCTCTCTATCGTGGCACCTTTTTGGTAGGAGCAGTCCTTGGACATAATACTGGTAGTGTTACCTGATTTGGGTAATGGGTAAAATCCCTGGTCATATTCAATTAATTGCACTTAACAACTGAAAAGCATGTGTGATGTAGAATGCATGTACTAAGTTACCATAGTTGTTAGCTTAAATAAAAGAAGCAACTCTACCCTGTGGGTTGAACTTGTTAATGTGTGAACCAAATTTGCTTCCTGCTGGCAGTGATTGCTCCTGCAATAAGGATAAATTGTCCTTCGATGGTTAAGCTGATCCTCAGTGAGGGTATGCTGGAATTGTTACTGATATCATTCCTGGATAGAAAAAACAGTATGAGTCTCAGCAGCGTTAGCCTGGACAGGTTACCCCTTCGTGGCTCAAGTTGTTTAATCACTTAGAATAATGAAAAAATTCCTTTTTCCCACTCAGTATCTCTCTGTTCCATCTCTTTAAATGTAGTTGAGTTGAATAGTGAATATTTCTTTGGTCTTTCATGGTGTTAGGCCTTGGCATTCTTCAGGAGGAATCTCAACTTCTACTTTATGAAGTGCTTGCCCACTGCTGCTGCTTTCCATGTTTTCAGGGGAGTCTCCTGCAATTTGAGTTGTCCTCCATGGGTAGGGTGCTCTAATTTGAGCTATCAGTTCTGCAAAATTTAGTACAGCAGTCATTGTAGATGTGGTACTGGCATTCAACTGCCTGTAATAAACCGTAAGCCACAACTGTCTGTTCTTTCATGAGCCAGACCCTAAGACTGGCTCAGTTGGTCAGAACATAGTGCTCATAACACCACAGTTGTTGGTTCAATCTGTGTATGGTCCATTCACTTAACAGTTGGAGTTGATGATCTTTGTGGGTCCCTTTCAACTCAGAATATTCTGTGATCTGTGACATAATGGCAATGCCAACAGCAAACATTGTCCTATACTGGCAAGTTTGATGAGACTGAAGTGTGTTAAAATGATCACTGGCCACTATCTCAGACAGGAGAGATAGGAGTGTGACTGAGTTCCTTTCTTTTCTTAATCTGTCACCACCCCATCAATGCCCAAGCACACAGGTGCTTATATTGTGGCTGTTAGGTTTGCAGTATTGGGTACTTGTGGGTCTCAGATTCAGTCAAAGAGAGAAATGGAGAGTTTCTAGCCAAGCAGAAGCCTGGGAAAGAGTTGGAAAAGAATGTAAATAATTTTTTATCTCTCTTGTTATTCACATTGTTTATAGTTAAGTTCTATCACTGTGTGTCAAGCACTTTGCACCAATGGTGTGGATTTTTTTAATTTCAGGACCAATAAAATTGGTCCTCACGAAGCTCTGTATAAAAGAGCAGTGTATTTTGAATAAATCGGAGTTTTACTCTCAGCAGCCTTCTGAGTCAGTCTTCTCATTCCCGTCCTGCCTCAACAGTGACAGGTACTTCAACTGTTAGTGGGGCCAAATTGGCCAGAACTTCAGAAATTCCACTTCTCCCTACAGCAAAAATCCAGCACGGGTGTGGGAGATGGCCTTGGGGAAGACAGGGCTAGGATGCCATGGGAAAACACCATCATTTAACATAGAGACTGGTGCAACTTGCCATGATACCTTGCTTTTTCAGGCACATGTATAGTTGTCAGTCACCAGGTGTTCACTCCCCAGTTCTAGAAAATACTGTATCTCCTGTTCCCCCATTAGTCCTCCCTGGAAAACCACTCCCTCCTTCCTTCCCTATGGGTACAGGTCAAGTCACCCCACTCCAACTCCTCTCCTGACTCCTCTCTCCATTGAATGATTTGTATCCTGACCCTTTCCACCTCCCCTCAGTGATATACCCTAACCCTCCCCTGGTCCTGGCTCTTTGCCAGATTCCCTTCAGCAGAAGTTGTGTTCCTGATTCTACCCTGCCTCCTTGGATTCTGCCCACTCCTGCCCTACCTGGACCCTCGGATTTCTCCCTAATAAACCCTGCTGGATTGTACCAAGAGCCCTCTCATTCTGGTGAGGCTTTTATTACACCATCTGGACTTGGGAGTCTGGTGGGCTGCGGGAGTTGCCAACACAGGCCGAAGCGGAGATGCCCTAGGTGCCGCGGGCACCCTGGGGAAGCTGTCCAAGGCCATCCGCACTTGGGGACACACTAGCAGTCCTTGGATCACTGGGTGCAGGTGCCACATGGAGTCAGCACAGTCTCTGGACTCCTTTTAGAGTTTGGGCTAATGTTCAAACATTGACTCATTGCCATCAGGCAGACAACATATTTGATGGTGCAGAACATCAAAACCCTAAATATTGTTGTCTTGGTTTGGAAAGACAGGTGTCTGCTAAGGAAGGCAGAAGCCTCTCTTGAAATGGAAAAAAAGAGACTTGTAGACCCCCTTCCTCCGAATTGTTATAAATTTGAAATTAAGGGGCATTCTTAGGCAAAAATATGGGAGCAGGAATAACAGTTCTCTATTAAGAAAATAAAAAAAGAAACAATGCAGTAAACTAAAACAGCACTGACAGAGTCAGAATAAAACATGACACCCTGTTAGTCAGGGTGTTGACAGCAGTCCAATGGGAATTATGGCTGCAGTCTTCATGGAGTGTCAGGTGTGGTTTTGTTGGAGCAATGATCCTGTAGAAATGGTTCTTCCTCTGAAGATGCAGTGGAAGAGGCAGCTGTTCCTCTGGGAAATCCAGTGCAGAAAAAGCTGTGCTGGTGTTCCATAAACTCTAGATTATATCCAGGTAGAAATGCTTGGCTCCTCCCTCTGGGCAGAGCATCTTACAATGGGATGCTGCAACTTTATCAGTCATGCAGTGACATTCAATAGCCCATTATCAGCTGATGTCTCCCCAGCAGAGAGGATTGGTTTGTGGAGGAGATAAAGAAAAATGGCCTAATTAAAAGAAGATAACTGCCACACCTCTAACACATGACAATTGACTACCTCTTGCCTTGCAATCTAGGACAATTGTCATTGTGATCCTCGATTGCAGAGCAAGTTGCCAATATCCACTTCTCATCCAGGACCCATAAATTAATCTTAGCACCTTGGCAGATAACATTTGCACCATTTACTAAAGTGATTTTAACTCTTGGCATCTGGGTCATTCATCCAGCTTCTTGGCATCCTGCTTTGTTAGTGCTGAATGCTGTTCTCCTGTATCTATTAGAAATGTAATTAATCATTGACAAGAATCAGCGTGAATCTGGATGTATGAGTCAGTACGAATGTATTCATAGGTTCCACTTGTTACATTTCAGTCTCACTTGGCTTGTGCCTGGAATGCTTTGCAAATCAGCCACCTGAATGGACTCTGCACAATACAGGGTGAATTGGTAGCTTGTTTAAGCATCACCTTTGCCTTTCTTTCAGTTTTCATCTTTTCTCCTTTTCTTCCTGGAACTGTTTATGCAACTGTTCAATTCTCAGCCAACAGGGATAAATCAGGTTTCCTCTCTCAGGTCTTGTTTCTCTCTTCTATACTTTCCCCTATTCAAATTCTCAAATAATTGTTTTTCCTTACACTCTGCTGCAGCAAGTAGGGTCCTAAGATGATCTTTCTTAGTCATAAGTTTATCCTCTTGAATTCTCAGTTTTTCTCCTGTCCCCATCTCAGAGGCCAGTAGTGACTTTGATACCTCATTTTCTGTGTAAGTCTTATTTTTGGTAAGCTTCCTTAAATGTTTGCAGCCGCCAGCCCCCAACTCACTGAGGCTATTAAATGTTGTTTCTAAGACTCCAATTAACAACATTAGCCTGTGGGGCCATAGTAATTATAGGTCTCTCAGGAGTTCCAACTCCTACATCAACATCTTTATCCTTCTTGTGACAAGTGAGTGCAACTTTCCTTTTCCCCACTACATTCCAGGCACTACATTCTCCAGAATAGCAGTGGATAATTTATCACTTCCCGAGAAATTCCTTCCTGCAAGCCTTTTGCTCACACTGCATTCCATCATGAACTGGGACCCTACTGCTCCCTTTTGGGCAGTCCACTTCCTTGCTGCGATTCCAATTTCCTGATTGTTGTTCTGTTTACTTATTGTTCAGTGAAACCCATCCTTCTGCCATAGCTAATTAGCCCTGAAGATCCCTATCCCCATGTTAAGGCTCTTTTCCCTTGTCTTCCTCTCTGTGGTGTAAACACTTGCGTCAAGTGATCCTGAAATTCTGCCGCAGTGTTTTGTCCAGCAAAACTCCAACCATGGGAGCCACATACTTGGATAACCAGTGAGGTAGGTGAGGGCTCTCCTGGAACATCTGTCATTCATCAGTTGTAAAAACGCTGCCTTTGGTACACTCTGTCCATGATCTATGGTTGGGATCTCAATCCTAAGCAAATCACTCCTCTCTAATGGATCCAACCTCCTGCTCAATAGGCGGCAATCTGAGTTAAAGACCACAGTTTCCTCTGGTCACCACCATTAGAAATACTTCTGGCCTCCAGAAGCCCTGGGCCTCTGCTTCAAATGATTCAATCAGCCCCTGCCAGAGACCCTCTCCAAACATATCCAGTTTCCAATTACCTTGTAAGTCTGCTACACTTTTCCTGGAACTTTGCTATCTTGGCTGCTGTGTACCACACTGTTTTAGTAAAAGTGTGCTGACCCTGACTATCATAGGTTTCATCTTTAATTTGGGGGTGTAATGTGATTTCCTCATTATCAGATAGGGTCATTAGAGAGTGGGTTTTAGTCAAATCAATTTTCTGTTCTGTCCACAATTTGAGTTGTCAACTTTCCTTGAAAGTTCAGTAACAAAAATATTCCCCACCAAGCTCAGCACCAGCCTGTCTGGGGAAAAAAGAGGGTTGACAGGACCTCAAAACTGGAGGTATTCCAAACCAGGTGGGTGGGGTCTGGGCTGGGTTTTAGGGAGGATATTTGGGGTCCCTGAGGTTTGGGGGGCTCAGAGAGTACCCCAAGGATGGCAGGGATGGGCAGGTTTGAGGGAATTTGGGGTCCCAGGGTAGGTTTTGGGTTCTGAGGTTCGGAGGGGGGGGTCTCCAAGGCATGAGGAAGGGAGGAGCTGGGGTCCCAGGGCAGGATTGGGGTTGAGTGGGTCCGTTCTGGGTCCCTCCTGCACCCCCAGGTGCGGCACAACCTGCCGGGGCAGCGCCGCCCCCCCCCCCCCGGGTGTGCCCCCCAAGCCCTGCCCCATGGAGGGGATCCCGCTGAAGCCCGACCCCAGAGCTCCGCCCATG